GAAAAAGATTGTAAATAAGTGAGGTTTCGGTTGTGTTTTGATATCTGGATAGATATGTCACTTTGAGTTTCTGGATGAGCTGGATGTCACTTCTGTGAATTTGTTTTCCTGTTGTCCATAGCTTTGATTACGAGGGTGCTGGTTATGAGGCCGCTGATCTGATTAAGATGGACTTCCTCCTCAATGGGCGGCCAGTGGAAGAACTTGCCATTATCGTTCATAAGCAAGTCTTGATCTTTCATGATACAGTTACAGTTTTTCTTATATTTCAAGAGGTATTTCTAAGTTATTTGATAACTTAAAGGCAATTAAATACCCAAATCCCTTAAAAATGTGAATATGGCTATAAAGATCAACAGCTGTGGTTAGTTTTTTTTTTCTGAAAAACACAACTGCAGCTGTGTAGTTTGTGTATGATTTGAGCTGGAAATTGGCAGCATCTCGATATCATCTTCCATGTTTGTGATGTGATTGCTAAAAAAAATGACACAAGCTCTGATTCGTCCTTGTGTTCAGAGACAGTGCGTACAGTGCGGGTAAAGCCATATGTGAGAGACTGAAGGAGTCCATCCCCAGACAGATGTTTGAGATCGCAGTGCAAGCAGCCATCGGCAGCAAGATCATCGCTCGAGAAACGTAAGTGTGGATGTGTTGTATTGTGCATGTTACTAAGATAATAACTTGAAACCTAAAGAAATAGTTCACCCAAAAATAAAAATTTGCTTAAAAATTGTCACCCTCAGGCCATCCAAGATGTAGATGAGTTTGTTTTTAATCAGAACAGATTTTGAGAAATTTAGCATTATATCACTTGCTCACCAATGGATCCTCTGCAGTGAATGGGTGCCATCAGAATGAGAGTCCAAACATCTGATAAAAGCATCACAATTACAGCAGTAATTAACATCTTGTGAAGTTGTGTGTTTGTAAAGAAAACAAATCTATTATTAAGCAGTTTTAGCTTCAAACCTTTGCTTCCATCTAAAATATTCCATCTGAAAGCGTCCATAATCCACCTTCCATCTAAAAAAGTCCATAATCCATAATCAGAACAGATTTGGAGAAATTTAGCATTATATCACTTGCTCACCAATGGATCCTCTGCAGTGAATGGGTGCCATCAGAATGAGAGTCCAAACATCTGATAAAAGCATCACAATTACAGCAGTAATTAACATCTTGTGAAGTTGTGTGTTTGTAAAGAAAACAAATCTATTATTAAGCAGTTTTAGCTTCAAACCTTTGCTTCCATCTAAAATATTCCATCTGAAAGCGTCCATAATCCACCTTCCATCTAAAAAAGTCCATAATCCATAATACTGCTTTCTCAAGTGAAAAAGCTACCTTGTCTGAATCAGGAGAGAAATCTGCACAGATCAAGCATCATTTACAAGCATAAACAGTTCTAAACAAAAATGTTGGTGGATTTTGATTAACTTTTTCACTGGAGGACGCGTGATTATGGATTGTGGACTATGCACTTCTTTATTTTGACCAGAAGAGATGGTTTAAAAGTGGATTTAACACCTTAATAATGGATTTGTTTCTTACAAATATGCATACTTCAAAAGACGTTAAATGATGGACTGTGGTTGTGTGGATTATTGCCATGTTTTTATCAGCTGTTTGGACTCTCATTCTGACGGCACCCATTCACTGCAGAGGATCCATTGCTGAGCAAGTCATGTAATGGTAAATTTCTCCAAATCTGTTTTGATGAAGAATCAAACTCATCTACATCATGAATGGCCTTGAGGGTGAGTAAATTTGAAGCAAATTTTCATTTTTGGATAAACTACTCCTTTAATATTCCTTAACTTTGTTTCTCTCTTTTAGAATAAAAGCATATCGAAAGAATGTTCTAGCAAAATGTGTGAGTACCTCTTCTCATATTGAAAAATGTTTCTTCTACTTTTTTGATTAGCTGCTGATTCTTGGTCACATCTGTCTTTCCTAGTACGGTGGTGACATTACACGAAAAATGAAGCTGTTAAAGAAGCAGGCTGAAGGAAAAAAGAAATTGCGCCGCATTGGAAACATTGACGTCCCAAAAGACGCTTTCATCAACGTTCTTAAACGGAAGTAGTTCCCTCAGGAACATTATCATAACAGACATCAAAGCCTGGGGTTGATTTGTGAATAGGAACATGCCAATGTACAGTATGATGATTGATTTAGAAATGCTATTAAAGTTCATATAACTAAGTGATGTTGTTCTGGGAACTTAAAGCAGGTTTGATGAATTAATCTTCATTATGCTGAAACAACATCGCAGTTCTCTCAGGAGCGGATTCAGAGACTGCAAGCTAAGAGTTTTCATTGGAAACGTTTAGACTGAGTGGATGCAGAAGTATTTGGCAGCGCTGTTTTCCTTTAAACACGTTTATTTCATTTCCATCAAGCTGCAGTGGTTGTGGATGTAAGGCTGAAAGCAGTCTGGGACATTTTCTGAAACATTGAGTGTTTGAGTTTTTGCAACTATAAGCAGAAATCGGGCTATTCTGACAAGACTATTGCATGTCAATGTCTTATTCCATCCCATAATTAAAAACATATAAGGATTTTTACTGTGCATATAGATAATTAACCCTGTTTTTATTACAGTTCCCTGCAAACATGTCCCTGCGGGGCCCATGCTGGCTTTTTGCGGGCTAGGGCCAGCCCACACCAAACCTAAACAGGCCCAGTGCGGGCTTAGGTGTAACAGGCACGAGCCTATTAATACGAATTTTGTGGGCAGTTTTCTTCCTTACCACTAGGGGTGCTAGGGTGTTTTAGGTTTCCTTAAGTAAAGCCATGTG